CTGTGCACAGGCATACACTGCATCTGATAGTGTTGGGGCCTGGCTTTGGGGAGTTTTTCTTAGTGTTCCTGCTGTTCAGGAGGATTGGCTGCCACCCTAAATAGGAGACTGTGCCCTACAGGAGTCAGTCAGGGTTGTTTGGTGCCAGTGTACCATGCAGAATCCTATAAACCTCAGGGCTTTTTCTTTCTTAGTTCCCAAAGCTGCAAGTATGGGCCAAGGGAGGCAGATGATTGAGCAGCCCCAGTTATGGGCAGTGTCATTCTGTGGCTTAGGCAGCTTAACAGTGCTGTACCTGCCTTTGGTCCACTCCTGTCTCTTTCTTTCCATTTTACCTGATGAGGCCACTGCCACATCCACCCAGCCTTGAGGCTTGGTCTACAGGTAACACTGAGTTCATGGTGAGGGTGTTTTCTGGTCACCTCATGCCCCTTAATCGTATGCTTGCTGCTCACCAGGGCAGCTTCCTTCAGCAGGACAGCAGGCGTTTGCGGGAGGGCAAGGCTTTCTTCCCCTGGAAGAGTGCTTAGGCTCTCCTGTTAGCCTTCCCAGAGGCTAGCATAGTCAAGTGCTGTTGGGTCTCTGGGGTTGGAAGATCGTGTGCCTGCTGAGCTGTCTGTTGCTTTAGGCCCACCACACCAAGAGCCTGGGTGATGGGGAACTAGGTAGAAGGTTACTCTGAGATGGCCCAGTGCAGGGCTAGGGCCTGGGGCCTGAATGTCATCTTCCATGTCCATAATAGGTGCTGTGAAAGAAGCAGCTGAGTTTCATCATATAAGAGGTGTTTCAGTGTATCCCAGACCACAGGACCCTGCAAAATTCCCCTTGGAGTGGGTCCTTGGGGTTTGTGGGGTATGTTGCTCTGCTACCTCCAGGGCCTGTACATCTCAGGTGCATGCTGCTGCTTGCTTGTTGGGTCTAGTCAGCATGGCAAAGTCCACACAGGAACTGGTGTGTGTGCTGTGGAGCAGACTGGTCTGCTTGGCTGTGTGGGCCTCACAGGTACTTACAGGGGCAAAACTCTGGCTCCTTAGACTTGGGAGAGCACCTGTTGCCACTAGTGAGTGGGCTCAGAGTGGGTTCTCTGGCTTTGTCCAGTTCTCCAGATGGCGCCAATGTCATGTGAGAAGGTTTGTGGGTCTGCGTATTCTGCAATATTAAATTTATGTCTGTTTTCAGCAAGGAGGGCCCATGAGTTTACAGGAAAGAAGATACTCTCAGGGCGTCCTTGGAAGCATTCTGGTTTCCGAAGTCCTGAGTTGTATTCTGTCTGGGCTGACTGGGGCTCAGATTTCCGCCTTGAGGTGGAGCTCTGTTTCTGCTCTAGCCTCTGGGCTTTTGGGGAACAGTGTCTGAAGAGAGGGTCCTGCTACCTGCAACAGACTGGAGGCTCCTAGAAGGCTCCGTTCCCCTCCCTGGTGTTGCTCAGTTCCTTCTCAAAGCTGAGTCACAGTGGGTGGAGCTGCAGAGTGCCCTGTGTTCTTACAGTTAATGCCCAAGCTGCCCTAGCATGTGCACAGCCTCCCGGGGGGTTCTATTTTCTGTGATATCTGTTTGCTCATCACAACCTGCCCAGGAAGTCCTTTCTCATGGAGGATGGTGGTTGCCTTCTCTGTATGCAGGGTTTTTTTTTTTTTTTTTTTTTTTTGCTTTTTTTTAAATAGTGCTGGGGAGTCTAACTCAGGGCTTTGTATATACTTGATAAGTGCTCTATCACTGAGCTACATCCCCAGTCCCTGCAATTTGCTTTTTTTTTTTTTT